CGGTAACACTTTGCAATAAGTAATGTTAATGTATTTACTAACATAAAATTAACTACAATTAATAAATATTGTAGAAGTATTGTTCATGCTTAGTTCATGTTAACTAAAGTAAACTAATGTTAGCTAATGAATCTTGTAAAGTGTTACCGCATGAACACATAGCAAAGGTATTTATATTGATACATCATGACCACTAGAAGCAGCATGTACAATTGCAATGACTATTAAAGGGGTCATATGATGCTTTTTTAAAGATCATTATTTTGTGTATTTGGTGTAACAGAATATGTTGACATGCTTTAATGTTCAAAAAACACATTATTTTTCAAATACTGTACATTATTGTAGGTCCTCTATCCCCCGCCTCTCTCAAAACAAGGTGGCAAAAGAATCCACCACAGAGTAACTAACCTTCAAAAGTTTTCCTCACAAAGTATCCTTATCAAATTGTTATATGATAATTTACAGGGACAATAATATCTAAGAGTGTCCAAAATATGAAAAAAAGTTCAAAATGAGTGCCAATATTTAGAAATGTACTCTTTGTATTTCATATGGTTTTGAAAAACATTTATACCATTTTTACTGCACCTTAGTATAGTTTAAGAATATATTTTTACCACTGTCATGAATTATTAATTTACAAATGGGGAAATGCATCACATGACATTTTACAACCTGAACTAGCGCAAAATTATTATATTTTAAGAACCTTACATACCTTATCACAGTCATGAGGGTCTCTGATATATACTATTGTTGTATGTTTTTTCCCCTGCATATTTATTCATTTGGGTTGCATCACATGGCTTTGATTTTGTGGATGAAAGTTTTTCAAATATTAATAAGCAGTTTTGTTATTTTTTCCCCTAATAATAATAATAATAGATAATAGAGAATATTTTTAAATTATTATATCAGGACAACATCATTTTTAATACAAAAATCAAATGATCAAATGCCATCCGCTAGTCTTTAACTTACATCTGCATGAACATACTCTAAGAGTCACAACTGTACCTTAAATCAATCTGGAAAACAAAACTTAAATCAATCTGAAAATAAAATTCAGCTAACAGGAATGAAAGACGTAGTCATCAAAATAAGAAAAAAACTGTAATTGGCATCAAGGATGTAACAAAATGTAAAAAATTGAGGCAACCAAAGGTAAACGACTAAGAATTGGTAATTGAAACATCCATATAAATCTACATTCTCATATAAAACATTGAGTTTTAGGGCTGCAACAAACTATTATTTTGATAATCGATTAATCTAATGATGATTAGAACGATTAATCAACTAATTGTCAATTATTTCAGATTATTTAGTAGGCTTTGATTGATCATATTGAGTTATATTTTATACATATTAATATACATATAGAGTTGCTTTATAGCAGAACATCAAGTTGTAATTGAGAGGAAAGTGTGAAGCCTATATTTACACATTCATCTAAACGCCGCTCTCAGCAGCATCAGGATGGACACTAACAGTAAACAGCTGCTTGGTTATATCAAACTTCTTTTCACCCCCAGCAAACCAAAAAAAAGCACTTCGCCATGAGTATATCAGGGCCTTTACAACACGACAGCATTTTTTGTTTGTAATTTTGTAAAAAAAAAAAAATCCACACTCTGCAGGTCCAGTTTTGTTTACACTTCTCATAAGCATGTCTTAAATTGGATTGCAGCCAGGTGGGCTGAATTGGTCTTGTGCTACAGCACCACACTGGTCAAACTGCATTATTGCAGGCCCTTATATTGGGTCATATGAGATCTAGCAACTATTCAACAACAAAATGATTTGTCAACATTTTTTAAATGTTGACTAATCTTTTCAGTCCTATTGAGTAGACACATCCAGCACAATGTACACAGTGGTTGCAATATTAATAGACAATACTGACAAGGATCAGGGTAAGAGCACGGTTTAAAGCAGTTGTTCTCAACCAGTGGGCCAGGGCCAACTATGGGGCCTAAGCAAACTTCAAAGTGGGCCACAGGATAACTTTAAAAGTATGCAAATTAACAGTGTTGGGGGTAACTCATTACAAGTAATGCGAGTTACGTAATCAGATTACTTTTTTCAAGTAACTAGTAAAGTAACCCATTACTTTTTTAATTTACAAGAAAATATCTGAGTTACTTTTTCAAAAAAGTAATGCCAGTTTCTTTGTTTTCCCATTTATTGACTGACGAGTCTCCTATAACAATTTAGGGAGAAATCGGAAGTACAGACTAGAGACCTGCGCGCAAGATTCTGTCCCGCGCCCGCCCGCTCCAGCAGAAATATATCTTATCTGGTCCCGCTCCCGCCTGCGACATTCATGTTTTGTCCCGCTCCCGCCCGCAAAAAAGTAATCTATATAGACTTTTTCAGTACATCGAAGAAATTTACATGAAATGGTTCTGTAACATCTCCTAAGCTCCACAACATCCCAGCATAAACACTCCCAATAAAATATTTGTTATTTAGGCTAAGCATCAACATTAACAAACCACTGTTATTTTTAACAGAAAAGCAAGCATGGGCTGCTGCGTGCATGGTTTGGCATGGCAGAATGCGAGCTCATAAAGCTCTGTTATAACACAATAAATGTATGCACAATGAATCTTTCACAATGTCTACACTTCATGTGTAAAATGAGAGGATTCATGAGCATGCAATTTCAGCACTGTGGTGAGCAGATTCTAACTTAACCTCTGATTGGCAATTGTGTTCTAGAAAAAAAAACAGCTGAGTCTGTGATTGGCTACATTGCGCTACCCTTTAAACACATGTTATAAATAGAAACTATGGCTAGCTTGCGCATATCAATAATTGTAATGTTAATATTAGTTGTTCTTTTTGCTTTTGTACAACAGATAAATAACAATTTATATGTTTTAGACAATTTATATTTAGATAACTTCTATTTGGCGGGAGTCCCGCGAATCATTTTATTCTCCCGCATACCGCACACACACAAGTCTCTTCCCGCACGCACCCGCACTCGCCCATCAAGAGTTGTCCCGCGCCGCACCCTGTTGCGTTGGTTCCCGCGGTACTCCCGCGGGAGTGCAGGTCTCTAGTACAGAGGCGTTGTGTGCGCTGTGTGGACATGATGCTACTGTAGTTCTAGACTAAATGTGAATGTGCATTAATTCATCCCACTCACAAAAAACAGATTTAGTATTCATCAAAATGAATTAAAACAGTGAAATGCAAGCTCAGAATATGACGCAAACCTGCAATAATTAAATATTAAATAACACAAATGTATCTAATCCCATTTTATTAACCAATGTCTTTGCTGCTGACCTTTGATGATCCAGTTCAACCATACTAATAGGCAAAAATGACTTTAGATAAACTAACAATTGTGCTTTGTTTTTTTATTGCTGAAGAGTGTTTCTTCTCTTGCGTTCTACTGTACAGATGTGAATTTACTTTTGCTTCAGCCTGAGGTTTATTCATTACACTTTTTGGTGTGAAAGGGCTTTTATATTTGCTATAAATAGAACTTCTTATATTAAAAACAATCAAGCCCTGCTTATATTTAAAAAGTAACGTGAAAGTAACGCAAAAGTAATATAATGCATTACTTTCCATAAAAAGTAACTAAGTAACGTAATTAGTTACTTTTTTAGGGAGTAACGCAATATTGTAATGCATTACTTTTAAAAGTAACTTTCCCCAACACTGCAAATGAATAAATTATTATTAATATATTTAAATAATCTAAACAATATTCTCTCTTTAGATTTCTTTTCTCATATTCTCTTTTTATTTTACCTCAATTTTTATTGAATAAACATAACGTTCTGGAAAACATAACAGAACTTCTTGAATCAGAAAGTCAATCATGGTTAATTTAATATATTAAATTAATTAACACATTTTATTAATTAATTATATGAATAAAAGGTTTGAAAAGAAGTAGTTTTGTCATGATTACAGCAGAAATACCAAAAATATCTTAGCATATACGGCAGGGCCTCAAATGGGGGGATGGGTGGGGTGCTGTTTAGAGGTTCTCTGAAGAGGTGACTTCCAGATAAGCCTGGGCCTTAACTGTATTGTAAGGGTGTGTCTGAGATGGATGGCAGGTTGTGAAGCGGGCTGAGGGAATGAAAAGGTGCCGGTTTAAGCATGAGCAGTGAAGGTTACGAAAAATGGCAGGTGTTATTTCTCATCTGTGGTTTGTTGTGTGCATGCTTCTGGCTTAGGCTCTGATAGGGACTGAGGGGGAGCTGTGGGGTCATAAATCTAAAGGCAGAAGAGAGCACTGGAGCACAACAGGAGCAGGATGAAAGCTTGTAAATGTGCACACATATATACTACTTTCCACCTTACAGCATATTCACCTTCTCTGGTCACCCTGCTGCCTTCCACTTGGCACACAGAGCTGTTGCATGTTTCTTACAGTATACATTTCAAAGCTGCTTATCTAAAAGCATTAAATACATGTCCCGTGTTTTATGTATAAACTCTAATAAATGTTAAGTATTTGAAAGAAGGGGTCTTTGTATCAACTATGCCAGTCTTTCATATTTATCACTGTCCATTCAGCAATACAACAGATTATAAATCAGCCTGTGGGCCCTGCAAACCCCTCTGCGTTATAAAGCACCCTGCACACTAATAATGAGATTTCCACTGAACCAAGTACATTAAGAGCCTTTCAATCTATTGGCACAGCATTTTTCATCCTAACCTAATAGTATGCTTTAGACAAAATTATTAATTTTGATCGCTTGTGGTAAAGAAAAATAAACAAGTTGACCATACAAAAGCAATTCTTATGGCTGTCCGGCTATTTTTTTAAATAATCCAAGGAGGGGAAACCATTCTAAAACCTAAAGGGTATGTTTGTGTGTTGTGTATGTAAAGAGTGAGGCACACAAAGTTATAAAAATCTGCATGGTAGAATTTGGACAACAAGGTGATCGACAACACATCAAATGATAAAATAGGTGATCTGATCAGGAAGTCTAGATTCCAAGACCACTACCTACCTTCATTGGGGAGATATGTGCATGTGCCACATAGCCGTGGATGTTCTCAATCTGGGAGAGGTTCTTCTCAGCCACTTGGACCAGCTCTGGCCCAGGAGCCTCATCAGTGAACTGTGGTGAGCTTTGCTCCTGTGGAGATCCTGTGTCTTCATCATGGTGTCTGTACTTCTGCAGAGAACAACAGAGACCAGTCAGATAAAATTAGATGAATACCATGTCATAAGGAGATTTGAGACCTTTTGAGGTCTTTGTTTCCTGACAACTGCTTGGTTTGTACTGCAGTCACAAAAACCCTATATTCCAAAACCTGATGAGCTTCTTACAAAGGCAGAATTTTAAACCACACGTCAGATGTGAAAGTTGTTTCAAAAGGTAGGTTATTTAATTAGGCCCTTTCGCACCGCTTTAGTTCCAGAACTAAACGTACGGTACTAAAGTACTGGGACGATTTTGCGCTAACTATTTCCCAGTACCATTTAAAGGGTTGCATTCGCACCGACAGTGTGTACTAAGAAGTGACGTAAGCCGGTCGACAGCGACGTCATTTGTGCGCGGCGTTCAACAACAGAAACAAAAAAAAACAACGTTAACAACAGGAGGATGGAGGACGCTGTGATCGGAGCTGTGTTTTGTTGTGTCTCGCGGGTTTCACAATAATGGACATGGAAAGTTGACGTATACATAAAGCGATTGAAAGAATGGAAAGCAGGACTAAGAATCTCCAACAACAACTGGCAGTGCTACATTTGCTACAAGTGCCTGCACTTCAGCATCCGTCCATCTATCGCTGTTCTCCATACTTGCAAAATAATACAGTATGTTTACACAGCGTTTTAAATCATGGCGGGGAAAGGCCCTAATATGCTGCCTCCAAAGACCATTTTGGCCTTTTCAGATAAGGCAATCCCAAAATGAATTATTCCAAAACGCTGAAAAAGATAAATATTATAAGCTTATTTCATTCAATACCCAGAAGTTGTGCTCTATGTTATTTAATGCTTAGAGTGTTATGTTAACTTAGCAACATGCTAACATTAAAAAAAATTTAGCTCTGGGGGGAGGTCACGTGGTTAAAATCGCATTCTGTGGGATGATTGCCTAGGGTATGACAATGGACAACTGGGGCATGGCAGGGGAGGCTAGGGTATGGCGACTGCCATACTCTGCCATATGGAAAAGCCGCCCCTTGCTTAGAACTCTACAGAGAAGGCAGCAAGGCATCTCACTAGGTTTTGGAACAGAGCTCAGATGTCTGAGACATGTACAGACAATCATAAACATGAAATTTTGAAGACGTTAAAAAAGACTGGAGGTTTAGATTTAGTTCATTATAGTAACCACATAGTCAGTGCAAAAGGATAGAAAAGGAATATGGTTTTGAGGATGGCAGATACTATAATACTGACATTTATGGAAATCTTTGACTGAAAGTGGAGATGCAGTGAAGCGTTTGGTTAAAGGACTGTAAAGTAATGGCTCGTTTCCACCAAGCGGTACGGTTCAGTACAGTACAGTATGGTACACAGTTATTTCCGTTTCCTTTGTCAGAAGTTGTGAATGGTACCAAAATAGCGAAACGTACCACTTTTTTAGGACCCTTCCGTTGGGGTATCTAGCACAGTAGTCCGGTACCTAAAGGGTGGAGCTAGACTCACTGCAGAATACTGATTGTTTGACAGAGAATCGTCACTTGCTCATGCTACAAGGGGAATGACAACACAAGGGGAACAAAGCTTCTCCTTCACTCGTTCCGCTATGCTGCTTATGCGTGATGGGCTTGTTTACATCAGAGTGCACAAACACAAAAAATATAACTGTATTTTATCATTTTATATTTTCACACATATACACAGACAATGTCATGCTTTCTTATACTGTTGGTGGTGGAAACGCAAGTTGGATCAGGGTGTACAGCCCCAAATCGTACCGTACTCAGGGCTCCAGACTGCGACCATTTCATTCTACCTGTGCGACTAAATTTTGTGTGCGGTCGCACTGGCGTGACCACCGCGTTGTTCAACTCATAAACGCTGCCATTTCTGTTGCATGTGAGCAACATCCCACGGCAAGTGAAACTGAATGCATAACGAAACCGCGCTACTCGTTTGAACTGCGCAGCACTTCGAGTGTAGAGCCTGGTTTATACTCGCCACGTCAGCACGAGCATGAAGGTGTGCGCGGCAAAAAACGATGCAAATATTGAGGAAACGATGGATGGTTTTCAAGCTAAAGTAAAGTAAAAGACCGCTTCTTAAACCAGAGAAGGTGAACATGTTGGTACTCTTGTGGGGGGAAAAAAACATGCAAGCACTGTCACCGACAGCAAGTTTAGTTTTACTTTTCTTTTTTTCATTTTGAAAAGCTTGTTATCTTTGCTGTTTACCTCACATTATGCTATGGAGGCTCTCTTTTATTTAATTTTTTTATTTGATTCCTCAGTGTTTGCTTAATGTTCTGTAATTTATTAGTTGGTATATAATACAACATGTGGTTTATGCCATGCCTCATGTTACTAGTTTTTGCTAATAAACATTTTGTAAGCTAGTTTGCCATTGTATCTTACTGTTTTGTTTTAATTAAGAATAACAAAGAATCCAGCTTTTGTTTTAGTCTTAAAAAGTGAAAGGTGTGTAGCTGTATGTAAGCAAAACAGACAATTATCTTTTCTTGTAAAACGTGACAACAAGATCGCAAAAAGCACCCCAAGCCCGGCTTATAACACAGCAAAAGAGGAACTCTAGTTCAAAAATTCAAATCACAAATAATACTATACTGATGAAAAAGAACGGGTTAAATGTTAACCACTTCCATTTCTATATAACTATAAACTATGATAAAAGCATGCATTGATTAATCCCATGTTGTAGCGCAAAAAAAAAAATTGCAACTGAGAAAGTTAGTCGCAAAAGAGTGATCAGTGAGAAGAATGAGTCTGGAGCCCTGGTACTGTACTGAACCGTACCACTCAGTGGAAACGAGCCATAAGTGTCCGCAAGCTCATGTTCAGCTGATACAAATACTTATGGCCTTATCTGTAAACCTGGATATGACCTGAAAGCAAACATACTAAAAACACAAATGAAATTTGAGAGCTGCAGTGAAGGAGAGATTTTAAGTGTAGTAAGGGCTTGTATTCAGAAGACTTAGGATACCCAGGACAACTTAGACTCAGTGCAGAGCCTAATATAAAGTTAAATAGGCTTCTTTCATGGTGCATTTTTGTCCCTATTAGAGCCTGAAAGATCCTGATGCTGTATGATTTCTTTGCATGGGAAAAAGCAGTATCAGCATTCTTCAAAGTTGTTCCAAAAGGTCACTTAATATTACACATTATCACTGCGTTTGGATAGAAAGGTTTGGGGAGGAAAACAAAATCATACAGTTCTGAAGCAAAATCAGGAAGTAAATAATTTATACTCCCTAATTTTTCATTTTCAGGTGAACATTACACAATATACTTGAAGTATCATATATGTTGTAACTAACTACAATCATCCACATTTTAATTATATAAACACAGAAAACTATCAAACCATTCCCTTGCACCAAGTAGTGCTTTCACGAGACGCACATGGGTTTCCCTTCCTCTAAAATAAACACTGGTACATGCTTACACAAAAAGGTAGCTGATGAGTGGTTTCCACACAGGCAGAGGATGGCCACAGTTGCTATGGCAACAGGTTTATCAGATACTGACTACTTCTCACTATAGGTGAGCCAGTGATTCAAGCAGCTGACATACAAAATTCATTTAAAGCTGACATAAGTCTCATTGAACTGGTGTAAGCACTTAGATTTATGCATTTGACTGGCGTATAATCAGTAGCCAGATTACAAAAAAAGTGCAATTAGGAATTGATACTGAAAAGTGTTTGGTTTTCTTCCCATTAAGCAAGTAAAGAGAAAATGTATATATCATCCACAATGTTTTTGAAAATTTGATAATGGGCTTTGAGGTCAACCTAGATAATCTTAAATCTCACTCTACATAATCATTGCATTTGCTTAAAAATCATCTGTCCATCTGACAGTTGTCATCATATCTCAACAAGATCGCAAAAAGCACCCCAAGCCCGGCTTATAACACAGCAAAAGAGGAACTCTAGTTCAAAAATTCAAATCACAAATAATACTATACTGATGAAAAAGAACGGGTTAAATGTTAACCACTTCCATTTCTATATAACTATAAACTATGATAAAAGCATGCATTGATTAATCCCATGTTGTAGCGCAAAAAAAAAAATTGCAACTGAGAAAGTTAGTCGCAAAAGAGTGATCAGTGAGAAGAATGAGTCTGGAGCCCTGGTACTGTACTGAACCGTACCACTCAGTGGAAACGAGCCATAAGTGTCCGCAAGCTCATGTTCAGCTGATACAAATACTTATGGCCTTATCTGTAAACCTGGATATGACCTGAAAGCAAACATACTAAAAACACAAATGAAATTTGAGAGCTGCAGTGAAGGAGAGATTTTAAGTGTAGTAAGGGCTTGTATTCAGAAGACTTAGGATACCCAGGACAACTTAGACTCAGTGCAGAGCCTAATATAAAGTTAAATAGGCTTCTTTCATGGTGCATTTTTGTCCCTATTAGAGCCTGAAAGATCCTGATGCTGTATGATTTCTTTGCATGGGAAAAAGCAGTATCAGCATTCTTCAAAGTTGTTCCAAAAGGTCACTTAATATTACACATTATCACTGCGTTTGGATAGAAAGGTTTGGGGAGGAAAACAAAATCATACAGTTCTGAAGCAAAATCAGGAAGTAAATAATTTATACTCCCTAATTTTTCATTTTCAGGTGAACATTACACAATATACTTGAAGTATCATATATGTTGTAACTAACTACAATCATCCACATTTTAATTATATAAACACAGAAAACTATCAAACCATTCCCTTGCACCAAGTAGTGCTTTCACGAGACGCACATGGGTTTCCCTTCCTCTAAAATAAACACTGGTACATGCTTACACAAAAAGGTAGCTGATGAGTGGTTTCCACACAGGCAGAGGATGGCCACAGTTGCTATGGCAACAGGTTTATCAGATACTGACTACTTCTCACTATAGGTGAGCCAGTGATTCAAGCAGCTGACATACAAAATTTATTTAAAGCTGACATAAGTCTCATTGAACTGGTGTAAGCACTTAGATTTATGCA